AGGGGATCGGGAAAATTTATTAATGGGGGAAATGAGTGAAGAAGAGCTAATAAGGAACAAAACCCAAGTATACAAACAAACAAGTAAAAGATTAAAACAAACCCATGTAAAATTTTACCCAACCAAAGTCAAATCAAGGCTAAGTAATTAATGGATGAAAAAGGAAATTGTATGAATATACATATATATATTCAAACCTATCTGTGTAGTGATAACACACACACACACACACACATATATGTATGGTGATAACACACAAACATAAACACACAGAATGGAAAAAAGTAAAAGAATAGAAAAGTAATTTTTTTAAAAATAGGATAAAATAAAATTTAAAATTAGAAAAAAAAAGCAGAAAAGGGGGGAATAGGAAAAGAATTCTTATTGAGAAAAGAAAAGGATTTCCACTGAGGTGGTCAAAACTTATGGTGAGGATGGATATATTTTTCTTATGCTAATGTGCAATATTTAAATTTAGTTTTGGAGACTAACCCTTAGGTCTAGGACAGTGTGAAGTCTCGCATCTTTGTGTTTCTCCCCAGGCTGCCAGCTGTTTTTGCTAGGTTCCAAAGCTGGTTGTAGTAGCTCTCAGCATCCTATTCCCTTAGAAGATAGGGGATAGACTGGGGAGTGCTTAAAACTGTGTATTCCCATAGTGAGGCTGGTATAGAGTTCTAAATTGGAAATTCCAGTAGCTAGAGATTCATCTTGACCTACCCTTGGAACTCTGTTGGTAGGTATTTGAGATTTGGTTCACACCCACCTCTTGCTGGGCAAATGCCTATCTCGGCTGCACCATCTGGGTCTCAGCCCTCCCAGAATTTCCACTTCTAGCTTGAGTGGCTTCAGAATTTCCACTTTTACCTTGACTGGCTTCAGATATTTCATCCCCATGGTTGTGATTTACCCAGGGTCAGACCTGGAATACAGACTTGTTTGACTGCCATCTTTCCAGATGTTCCAGATGTTCTAGCAAGAAGGGGAGTTTTCCTCAGTATCCCCAGCCTGTATTGTCCTAGGCACAGACCTCTGCACCTATTTCAGTCATGCCGGTCCAGATACAATATGACCCTCACAATGGGTGTCTTCTGGGTCAGGCTGTCAACTTCCTCTATGAATTCCCAATCTCCAGCCTCTACTTGATACCACACAGCCAGTCAAAAATGCTGCCACAGCACTGATTCCAGCTGGACTATGGGGACCTTAGCTAACTGACTTTTTTAAAAAAATATTTATTTATTTATTTACTTTGGTGGACACAATATCTTTATTCTTGTTTTTATGTGGTGTTGAGGATTGAACCAGGGCCCTGCGCATGCCAGGCGAGTGCACTACCGCTTGAGCCACATCCCCAGCCCGCTAACTGACTTTTAATTATTTTTCAAAATATCTTTCCCCACCATCTCTAGATTAGTTAAGGTTAGCTTTCTATTCCATGGTTCCTCAAGCCCATTTTGTTTGCTATATTATTTTCTCTCTGCTCTATTCCCCTTCCCATCTGCAGTGAGCTGGCATGTCTCTAATGTATAGTTCTTATATTTTGTTCAAAGTTTCCAACTTTTGTATTTCTATGATTATTTTGCTATCCAGTGTTGATTTTCAGTGAATTTCCTTAGGTGAAGAGCAATCTTCCTACCATTTAAATCTTGTGCTGAGGAACTCCTGGGAAATGCATACTTCCTCTAACCTGCCATCTACCCTCCTTTTTTTTTTTTTTTTTGGAAACCATAGATATGTAGGGCTGTTTGTATTATTAACATTTGGTTTTTCAACATGCTAATTGTATCAACTTGTCCTGAGTAGCGAGGTAGAAATTTTGTGGCCTCCTTGCAAAATTGAGACCAAGAATCTCAAAGAGTAGTGAGGAAGTAGTAGGAAGGAGTGGGCCCTGGAGATCTGGAACTTCTAAAATTGAGTGATATATGCTGCATCTTGTTTTGGAGTCCACATTGAAATTTTACAGTTCCTGCTTCATTTTTCTAAGCCAGCATCCCTTCTTGGCCATATCCATGCTATTTTCTTTCGCTTTTATGATTCTCTGTCTATCCCTACTTTATAGTTTCCGTCCTCCAACAACTCTGAGGTAACATTGCTTCTACTTTATATATAAGGAGACTGAGGTGTAAGGATTTGCCCAGGGATACAGCTAGTATTCTATAGAGGTGAGATTCAAACTCAGGGCTGGCACAATTAATGCTCTTACTACCTTAAATTGTACAGTTTGTTGTTTTGTTTTGCGGTACTGGGGATTGAACATAGGGACGTTCTATATTGAGCTGCATTTCAATGCCTTTATTTTTTATTTTGAGACAGAGTCTTCTTAGGTTGCTAAGGCTAGCCTCAAACTTGTGATTCTCCTGCCTTAGGCTCTTACCAAATCCAGCCACTTAAGTTTTTATTAGAAGTAACATCTCTTGTTTTTTTTTTTTTTTTTTTGCAGCAGCGTGGGGGTGATGTTGGTAGTGTTTAGGATGAAACCCAGGACCTTACACATACCAGGCAAATGCTCTACTACTGAGCCACATCCCCAGCCCATTTTGGTTTTTTTTTCTTAACTTATACAATTACATTTTTCATTTTTAAATCTTTAACCAATATGTAATTTTTGTGATGGGTTCAGCTAGTGATCTTTTATCTCTTTTTTCCTGAATGATATAACTTGTTTTTATAAACCTGTTTTGAAAGATCAACATATCTGTTGAGTGTCTGAATCAGAATATGCCTACTAATGAGTCATATGCCAGCAGTTTATCTTTAGAGGTTTTCTAATTGCTTGCACAAGCATATGTTCGTGAATTTTTGCGTTGCTGGAGATGTTATGTGCTCAAAGAATACTTAGATCATAGGTGGCCCACATCAGTGTTTCTCAACTTTTTTCTCTAATCCCTCTCCTACCAGGAGATTTTATTATCACAGATATTTTATGTATCTGTTTTAAGTTTTATATGCATATCTATTTTATGTAAAATGAGTAAGTATAAAGCTTATTCTTTTTATTCAGTGCAGGGGTAAGAATGACTAATTTGTTTAACCTTAATTAGAAAGTAAAAAGCAGTTTCCTGATAAGGAATATAATCTAACATGTCCAGTCTGGAAAATAGTTTGGCAGTTTCTTTAAAAACTAAACATGTAAGTACCATAAGAACCTAAGGGGGCTAGTGAGCATTTATCCCAGGAAAATGAAAATCTATGTGCACATAAAAACCTGTACATGAATGCTCATAGTGGCAGCATCTGTGATAGGTAAATCATTAAAATGAAAGGTAAATGGTTAAACAAAGTTGTAATGCACCCATACCATCATACTCAGCAATAAAAAGAAATCAACTATTGATACACAGAGTAACTAGATGAGCCCCAAAGAATTATGCCAATAAAAGCCAGTACCAAAGTTGCATATTATGATTCCACTTATACAGCTTTCTTGAAATGACAAAATTATAGGAATGGAGAACAGATTAGTGATTGTCAGGCATTAAGGAGTACAAGAAAGAACCTTGTGTTACCTTGATTTTGGTAACAATTACATGAATCCACACATGTGATAAAATTGCCTTAAAATTATATACAAATGGTGCCTGTAGACCTGTGAAATCTGGACAGAGTCAGTTTGCTCACCAGTATCCATGTCCTTGTTGTAATAATCTACTGTAGTTAAAAAAGATGTCAGCAATAGAAGAAACTGAATCAAGGATACTAGGGATCACCCTTGTGTATTTTTTTGCAACTTCCTCTGAAGATAAAAAAATTTGGAAAAGCAATTAACATTTAACTTTATATTTGCTGAGTCATTTCAAGTATGGCTTATTTTTGTAAATTGTATCAAATCATATATACAGGTTAGCAATTTCTATAAATACCTAATAATAATAGCAGTGTAATCAAATATTTTTTTAAAAAAATCACTTCAAATTGTTATATTTCCAGCAAGATTCAAACAATTAAAAATTTAATTACTTAAAAAAATTACTTTTCCAGGTGTGGTGGCACATGTCTATAATCCCAGCAACTCAGGAGGCTGAGGCAAGAGGATCATAAATTCAAAGCCAGCCTTAGCAACTTAGTGAGACCCTACTTCAAAATAAAAAATAAAAAGGAATAGTGACATAGCTTAATGGTAAAGTGCCTCTGGTTTCAATCCCCAGTACCACCCCCCCAAAAAAAATTTACTTCTAAGATGGGTGTGACTCTCAGCTACTTGGGAGACTGAGGCAAGAGGATGGGGATTTCCAGACCAGCCTGGGCAACTAAGTGAGAACTTGTCTCAAAAATAAATAAATTAATTAATTAGCTTCTACACTGATGGTATATAGCTCAGTGGTAGAATGCATTCTTAGCATGAGCAAGGCCCTGGGTTCAATCCACCACACTGTCTTCTCCCTGCCCAGAATTGGTTCCTTTAGCATGCTAGTTATTTTTGGCCTAAAGTTCCTCTTTGTAAGCCAAATATTTTTTTTTGCGGGGGGTGGGGGGTACCGGGAATTGAACCCAGGGGTGCTTAACCACTGAGCCATATCTACAGCCATTTTATGTTTTATTTTGAAACAGAGTCTTGCTAAATTGCTTAGGGCCTTGCTAAATTGCTGACACTGGCTTTGAACTCACTATCCTTCTGTCTTAGCCTCTTGATATGCTGGGATTATAGGCATGTGCCACTGCATCTGGCTCTCCTAAACCCTTTACATTGTGGGGATTATATTTTCAGGAACTCTGGACCCAGAGCCCTTTTCATCTTTGCTTATTGACATTCCCCACACATTTGTCCTCCTGATTAGCTGTCCTTCACTGGACACATGAGCAGTTAGGATGCAACTCTCAGAACTGCCTATGAGGTGCCAGGTGGACAGCTCCATTTTATAGTCTTTTTTTTATACATATGTTAAAACTAACATAGTATGCTAAATGCAAATTAAACACTATTTAGGAACATTAATGTCCTCTTTTGTAGCGCCCTTTTATAGTGTTTCCATATGCCACATGTCACACTTTGTATTTAACAGCTTGCTGGTGAAAAGAACCTCTAGAAGTGTTGGATATCGACCTGACTGTAAGTGGATTACTTTTTTATCAAACATTTAGCTATCTTTAACCTAAAAAAATTGTACATGTAGTGACTTAGAGTTGCTTTAGAGAAAATTTTTAGACAAGGAACATTTGCAAGCATTAAATTTGAAAGTGATATTTTCTGTACCTAAATGATGAATTATGATTCTTTTTAGTTGTTGGATTTGAAATTCCAGACAAATTTGTTGTTGGATATGCCCTTGACTATAATGAATACTTCAGGGACTTGAATGTAAGTAATGCTTTTTTTTTCCTCACTCTCATTTTTCAAAACCCACATAAAAATTTAGGAAAGAGAAGAATTGTTTTCTCCTTCCAGAACCTTGTAATTTGAACAGACTGATGGTTCCCATTAGTCACATAAAGCTGTAGTCAAGTACAGACATCCTTCAAACTGGAACTTGGCCAGGCTAGGGTGACACTTCTTGCTGGCTGAAATAGTTGAACAGCTTTAATATACAATAACTGTCTCATTATTATTTCAGATGATAAATGTAGTTATAAATAAGAAATAAATGTTCAAGTTTAAGTCTTTTAATTCACTCTCCTTCATATACCCGCCTCCACCTCTGGAGGCAGGTGTCCCATGGGTCTGTTTATGAACGTGATTGAGAAAGATTTAGGAAGACTGCACCAAGGACACTATCTTGAGCAGGTTTTTTTATATATATATACCTTTATTTCACTCATTTATTTTTTTACGTGGTGCTGAGGATCGAACCCAGGCTCCCGTGTGTGCGAGATGAGCGCTCTTACCACTGAGCCACAACCCCAGCCCCAATGAGCAGGTTTTTTATTTCATCTTTTTTTCACCACTTGCCCTAGCCCCTAGATCAATAGATCAATATACCTATAATTCCATGCTTTGTTTTTCAGTTACATATTAAGATGAAAAAATAAATCAAACTAAGGGGACAGACTACTGCTTTGTCTCCAAAAGACACTCTTCCTAAGTTACTGGCCTAACATACACTAGTACTACCTTTGTTTGTTTACTAAGAACCCAGCATGCTTTTCTTGCCTTTCATTTCAGAATACTTTTCTAATGTGAAGTTCTGAATTTTTATTTTATAGCATGTGTGTGTCATTAGTGAAACTGGGAAAGCAAAATACAAAGCCTAAGATGAGAGCTCAAGTTGGGTCCAGAAACATCGGGAGTCCCATTGACATCACTAGTAAAATCATCAAATGTTCTAGTTCTGTGGCCATCTGCTTAGTAAAGCTCTTTGCATGAACCTTCTATGAATTTTATCTGTTTTGTATTTTAGAAATGTCGGTTGCTGCATTCCTGAACTTTTAATTTGCACTATGGACTTAGAGACTATCAGTTGATGGATTGTTGTTTAACTTGTGAATGAAAAAATCTCTTAAACTACACCACTATTAAATGAGAATATTGAAATTGTATCTGTAAGAAACATTGAAAGAGAAGATATATTAGTTTTTTAATTGGTATTTTAATTTTTATATATTCAGGAAAGAACAGAAGTGATTGAATATTGTTAATTATACTACCATATGTATATTAGAAAAGTAAGAAGCAGTTTTCACATCAATGACAGCATCTAAGAGGCTTTGTTCAGTCGAATAAACCTGTTTCAGTAGTGTTGACTATATCTTCCCGCCTGTTCAGATTATTTCTGGTGAATCTTTGTCAACAGTTCCTTTTAAATGCAAATAAACGAATTTAAAAATGTACCACTTTTTAATTTTTCAAGGACTGTCTTTAAGATAACCTATACATACCTATCTTTTCTCTGTAGATTAACTTAGTATAGTTTCTATTAGTTACCTTTTTAAGTTTTAGTAGCTAGTTTAATGGTTATCTTTCCCAAACAGCAAGTACTGATTGATTATGATGGAATGGGTTGGTGGAGCTAGCAGAGTTCCTACCTCCTTCAGAGACTAAATTTCAGACACATTTGACTCTGCCAACAGAACATGCCTTTCTCTTGGAATTCTGAAGTTGTTCAGACTGTGATCTCAGCCACATCTCAACAGATTGTTTTTAGACATGTCCTGTTATAACCTAATCATATACCTAATCATAATCATTGACTAGAGAATAACAACAACAAAATCTCCTTTGTTTTCTGGGAGCAGGGGAATAGTTTTACACCAGAACTGTTACTTGCTTTTCTATTGCAGATGAGGTATGAACTAGCAACCTTGTGAGCCATCTGGCTATATTTATTCCTTTCAAAATTTGCTGTAATTCCCAGCAATAAAGTAGGGAGCTTTAAATAATGTTAAATAACAATTTTCTCTAGTCCTAGAACTTCTTTGTTGAGAAAATATTTCAATTCTATTATCTTATTTGACCTTTATAACCTTTAAGGTTGAGGTCAATGTTAAAACATGAATCAACCAGGCATGGTGGTGCACACCTTGAAATTCCAGTGACTCAGGAGGCTGAGACAGGAGGACCACAAGTTCAAAGCCAGCCTCAGCAACTTAGTGAGGGAGGCCCTAAAGACTTAGTGAGACCCTGTCTCAAAACAAAAAGGGTTGGGAATGTAATTTAGTGGTTAAGCACTCCTGGGTTCAATCTCTGGTACCAAAATTTTAAAAAAATCTAAGAAATGTGATGGCAATACACAAAATAACTTCTGACTTATGTCTTCCCCCTGCAAATGTCACCTCATTAATAGTGTCAACTCATTAATAATGTCACCTCATTAATAGTGCATCCTGCTCCCACTGCTAAGCCTCCTTACTCCCCTTTTGATCATACTGTTACCTTCTACTGTGTTGAACCATATGAAATTACCATCTTTGTAGGTAAAAAACTATTGGCAGTTTTGAGTGGTATAACCCAATAATATGCCATATGATTTACATTTGCATTTATTGTTCACAGTCTATACTCTCACCCCTATTAGAATGCAAGTCCCATAGGAGAAGCAGTTACTGTCATATGTCTTATTCATTAATGTATACTTAGTGCCTTGATCAGAGCTTTTCGACTAGTAGAAGCTCATGGATTATTGAATGAGTGAATAGCAAAGGATTAATTACCTGCTACAGTGAATACCTGATCATTAATTAGTTGCTACAGTACAGGTAAAACAGGACAGTGGTCTCACGTAGCAAATGCTTCATCAGCATTGATCACTGCTGGAAATCAAATGAGTGTTCCAGGATGTTAGGTACATGGCTAGCAAGTGGCAACACCAAGATTTAAACCTCAGTTTGCCTGATTATTGGGTCAATATCATGAAGAAGCTAAACTTTCCCCTTCTGATTCAAACTCTAGTTTGTAGTTAAGTGTAATGATTAACTGGTGACCCAATCCAACCCAACCCGAAATGCATGTAACTGCCAGGAAGAAAAGCATCTTTTTTACCAAACCGTTATGAATTCCCTTTTTATCAAAACACCATTCCTCAGACCTCCTTTTCTTTTTTTCTTTTCTTCATACCAGAATTAAACCCAGGGGCACTCCACCACTGAGCAACCTCTCCAGCCCTTTTTATTTTTTGTTTTGAGACAGGATCTCACTGAGTTGCTTAGGGCTTTGCTGAATTGCTGAGGCTGGCTTTGAATTTGTGATCCTCCTGTCTCAGCCTCCTGAACTACTGGGATTATAGGCATGCATCACATGTCCACCTCAGACCTTTTCTTAACATGAATTTTAGGAATACAATTTTAATAATTTATTTTTTAATCTTTTTTGCAGTACTACGGATACTCAGGGGAGCTCTACCATTGAGTTCCATCCTCAGCTGATTTTATTTCAAGATTATCTTGATAGTTGCCCAGTCTGGCCTCCAACTTGCAATTCTCCTGCCTCAGTTTCTGAGTTGCTAGAATTACAGGTATGCTCTATCATGCCCAGCTTCTTTAATCAACTTTGAACAGATCAAATTTATAAATTAGGGGAAAGGTCATGCTGAAAAGAGCCAGAGTCATTTTCAGGTTGATAGTCCAGAGGAAAGAAAAAGTAAAATTAGAAAAAATTATTTTCCCAGGGCCATTTAATATAGGAGCAAATGGTCATAAATATCACACCTTAGAGTCAGGCACGGTGGCGCACGCCTGTAATCCCAGTGGCTCAGGAGGCTGAGACAAGAGGAGTGCAAATTCAAAGCCAGCCTCAGCAACTAAGGGAGGCACTTAGCAGCTCAGTGAGACCCTGTCTCTAAAACAATATAAAAAAAAGTTTTGGGGATGTGGCTCAGTGGTTGAGCACCCCTGGGTTCAATCCTCAGTACCAAAATAAAATAAAATAAACCCTTTCAAAATATCACACCTAAGTAATCCCTCAGGGCTTCCCTTTCATTACTACCCTGTATTCATAAATAAAGGAAAATGAAATTCCATTTAAGTCTATTTAGGGAGATAGAAAACTGTACATTTTAGGAATATTACCATCTAAAAAAGTGTTAATGCTTAGTTATCTGGAAAATTTGTGTGTGTTGCACCCTTTGTGCATTCCTTTATTTTGAATGCTTAGAATCATTCCTGTAGGAAGGCATGGGTGGTGCACACCCATAATTCCAGGTATTTGGGAGACTCAGAAGGATCTCAAGTTCAAGGCCAGCCTCAGCAACTTAGTGAGACCCTGCATCAAGGTAGAAATGTAGCTCAGTGGTAAACATGCCTGGGTTCAGTCTCCAGTACTGCAAAAGAAAGAAAACAAAAGAGAGAAGACGACCTGTAGTACATACTGGTGGGTTCCTTTTTAATCCAGGTATAAATGATTTGTGATAACCTGACCTACTGCTCTACCATTAGCTTGGAAAGTCAATCAACTGATGTCCTTCCCTGCATCTGAGATTCTAGAAACACACAGCCCCCTTTGTGTTCCAAGTACTAGAGAAGACAAGCAAGTTTCTGGTTTTGTGGAGATTAAGTCTGGATGGTGAAAGGAATAGTAAACAAAAGCATTTCAAATAGTGACAGGCTGTAAAGAAATTATAAAAACAATGTGCTGAGTCCTGAAGAGTGGCATCTTTCCTTAAACAGAGTGATTAGGTAAGGTCATGGTTGGGCTGAAAGGGATTAGAGAAGAAACCAGCTATAGGGAAAAGCTAGGAGAAAAGAGTTCCTTGCAGTAGGAATAGCCAAGCAAAAGAAGCTGAGATAGTGACAAGCCATCTGAGGTACTTGACAGGAGAGTGGTAGAACCTGTGACCAGAGAGGAAGTCCAGACCCTGACCATGGGTGACCTTGAAGGCTATGGCAGAGTATGACTTTTCTGCATGCCACAATGTGAAGGCCCTGGGGTTTTAAGCAGATTTTATTTGCATTTTTAAAGGCATAAGAACCTCTAAGAGCTCTTCTGAAAGCAGGGGCTTCAGAAATATTAGTAATACCAGTGATAATTATTTAATATGTTTAATATATGTCACATGTTATGCTAAGTGCTTTATGCACATTAATTTATTTACAGCACATTTCCCAGAGAAGGTCGAGACCATCTCACATGTTTAATGACCAAATCAGTGGAGAGAAGAGATTTAGTGAAGCGAAGCTGCCATGAAAAATTGGTCATAGTTTCTTACCTGGATTGTTATAGTGGCCTCTGTCCTGATCTCCAGCAGTAGGATCCCTTGAACCCAGGAGCTCAAGGATAGCATGGATAGCACAGCAAGTGTCCATCTCAAAAAAAAATGGTCAAGGGCTGGGGATGTGGCTCAAGCGGTAGCGCGCTCGCCTGGCATGTGTGTGGCCCGGGTTTGATCCTCAGCACCACATACAAACAAAGATGTTGTGTCCGCCGATAACTAAAAAATAAATATTAAAAAATTTTAAAAAATGGTCAAACTTGAATCACTCTTTGGCTAGAATTGCTCTCATAGCTCCCCATTTTGCAAGGAAAGTCTTTTTTGTTTTCTAGTCCTGGTGATGAAACCCAGAGGCACGTTATCTCAACCACATCCTCAGTCCTTTTTGTTTTGTTTTGAGATAGGGTCTTGCAAAGTTTCCCAGGCTGGCCTTGAACTTGTAATCCTCCTTCCTCAGATTCCCAAATCACTGAGATTACAGGTGTGTGTGCCACCGTGCCCAACTACAAAGTCCTTTCACTGATGGAGAATCTGCTCTTCCCTGCCTCTCACCCTGGTCACATCACTGCCCCACAGGCCTGCTGAGCAGGCTCTGTAATCCCTCCTCTTACCTTTCTTTCACTGCACAGCTTTAGCCAGAGCACTCTCAACTGGTCCCCCTTTCACTCTTCCTCACTATTCAGACTGCCCTGCAGTGGTCGTGATCTTTAATTTTTAATAACTTTTTTTTCTTTGGGAGGAGCATAATCTTTTGAAAATATAAATGAGATCACATCATTTGCTTAACACCTAAGAAAACTACTAACTGAAAAACAAATATGGCCTGCAGACCCATGTGTTAATTAGCCCCTGCTTGCTTCTCTATAATCCTCAACTAATTATCCTTCTCCTGTTCACTTCAACCACACTGCCATCCTTTCAGTGCCTTAAACTTGCCAATCTCCCCCTTGTCTTGGGCCTCTGTAACTGCTCCTTCCAATCTCCTCTCTGCCCCCCATCAACATGGCTGGCTCACAGTTATGTCACCTTGGTGAACCCTGTCCAGACCTCCCTCTCTAACAGCCTCAAAGTTTCTCTCCATTAATTGCCTCTTTAATTTTCCTAATAGTTTTTAGTACCGTCAAGTGGTCTTTAGCAACATCTATAGCTCCTCAGTTGGACTTGCCATTCTGCCATAGATTCAGTTGGGAAAGAAACAAGCCCAAGTACATACAGATGGTTTACTACTTAGCATGACCAAGAAAAGCAAGGTGTCAATTCCCCATATCTCTAGTCCCAGAGGACCACGAGAGTGGTGGGTTACTCTGTCATGGGGGAGTCAGCTCTAGACTCCAGCTTAATGATTTTATGGCCTGCAGCTGTACCCTATGTGGAAAGGCAAGGTCAAAAGTTCCATACCTTAAGAGCCTGGGAGACAGATGAGAAACTGCCTCATGACAGCCCCCACAAGACAGGGAGGTGGGTGACAAATGGCCTTGGGGCAGCTGCTCACAAGATTGTTCATGTTATCATGTTTCGGTGAAGATCATGGGGCATTGCTCCAAGACAAGCCAGGCTGTACTTGACCTTATCTACGAGGCCTATGTGCAGACATCCATGGTATATTCTCCTGTGCACTTTAATCATCTCCAGATTACTTATAATGCCTAGTTCTAGCTCAACAGAAATGCCACACAACCAGTTGTTAGATTGCATTGTTTATGGAATAATGATAAAAAGATTACTACAGATGTAATTTTTTTTTTTTTTGAGAGGGCAGGTACAGAAGGTTGAATTCTGGGGCTTTTCCACTGAACTACATCCCCAGCCCTTTTAATATTTTTTAAATTTTCGCACAGGGTCTCACTGCATTGCTGAGGGCCTTGCCAAATTACTGAGGCTGGCCTTGGAACTTGTGACTCTCTTGACTCAGCCTCCCAAGTCACTGGGATTATAGATGTATGCCACACCCCCAACCCAACTGATACTTGTGTGTGTGTGGTGCTGGGGATTGAACCTTGAACCCAGGGCCTTGTGCATGTGAGGCAAGCACTGTACCAACTGAACTAAATCCCCAGCCCCCAACTGATTCTTGTACACTTGAAAGTTTGGAAACTACCTGCATAGATGAAAATTTTCAATATCAGTAGGATTACAGGTGTGTATCACCATACCTGGCTTGTACTAAACACTTGAATCCTCAAGAGAACTCTGATAAAGAAGTTTTGTTTTAGTTTTTTCAATTGTCCCATCTTTATAGATTAAGAAAAGCAGGTCCAGAAGGTTGCAAAATTTTCCCAGATCATACAGTTCATAAGTGGCAGATGAGGAATTTGAATTGAGACAATTTTATTCCAGAATCTGCCCTCTTAGTTCAGTTCTACTTAACCTGTAATGTGCAACTCTTGTGTAGAAAGTCATACACTGATACATCGAGGAAAGCACTAGGCTCATTGGAGGTAATAATTCCAAATGACTTATATTAAACACAGCTTTTTGAGGTCACAGCTGATCTTTAAGAATGTAAATTGCCTTCCTCTGGCACTAGACAACATTGCAAAGACTTATTGCAGAGTTTCTCCAATGTGCTTTTCAGGTTGTTTTTTTTTTTCTGACTTATTTTATAATCCTGTGGGCAACTTTAGACAAAAAAAAAAAAAAAGACTTTTTAGCATGAATGATTGTGTGTACTCTTTACCTTTTTAAAAATCTGTTTTCACTGTCTTTCTTATTCCTATTTTTCTTCCTTCCCTTCATTCCCCTTTGTCTAATCCACTGGACTTCTATTTTCCCCCCTTTGTTGTATGTTAGCATCCGCAAATCCAAGAGAACATTTGACCGAGTTTTGGGGATTGGCTTATTTCACTTAGAACAAGTCTCTAGATCCGTCCTTTTATTGGCAAAAGTCATAAAGTCATTCTTTTATGACTCAGTAATATTCCATTGTGTGTATATGCCATATTTTCTTTATCCATTCATGTACTGAAGGGCATCTAGGTTAGTTCCATAGTTTAGCTATTGTGAATTGAGCTGCTATAAACATTGATGTGGCTATGACCCTGTAGTATGCTGATTTTAAGTCCTTTGGGTTTAGACCGAGGAGTGGGATGACTGGTGAAATGGTGGTTCTTTCAAAGTTTTCTGAGGACTGCTTTCCAGAGTGGTCGCACTCTTTACCATTTTATTTTTTTATTTTTTATTTTTTAAAGGCTTTTGATGATTTCTTTTTTTTTAAGATAGAGACAGAGAGAGAGAGAGAGGGAGAGAGAGTCAGAATTTCAACATTTATTTTTTAGTTTTCGGCGGACACAACATCTTTGTTTGTATGTGGTGCTGAGGATCGAACCTGGGCCGAACGCATGCCAGGCCAGCGCCCTACCAATTGAGCCACGTCCCCAGCCCACTCTTTACCATTTTAAAGTGTGAATTTTATAGACCCTTCAAACTACTTTAAAAAATAATAGTTTTTTTTTTTTTTTTCTTGTGGTACTGTGGATTGAACCCACAGGTATTCTACCACTGGGCTACATTTCTTGCCCTTATTTACTCATTTAGTGTGCTGAAAATTGAACCCAGGGCCTCAAGCATGCTAGATAAGCACTCTACCACTGAGCTACATCCCCAGTTCTTTTTTCATTTTTTATTTTGAGACAGGGTTTTGCTAAATTGCCAAGGCTGGTCTTGAACTTGCCATCCTTCTGCCTCAGCTTCCCAAGTTACCGGAATTACAGGTATGCACTACTGCATTCAGCTAAAATAATGACATTTTAATGTTTTTTCATTATTATTTGTAACTTCAAACATTATTGATAAACTGTCAAATTAAGTTTCAAGTTTTCTCTTTGTACAATAAGGACATACTTCCTAATGGACTTTCTTATTATGATTCAGGGCTAAAGTGACTTTCAAATTTGGTAGTTTTCAGTAGAACTTCCTTTCCTAAATTTTTTTCTTTTCTTTAATTATATAATATTTGAGAATGCTGAAATCAAAGGTTCAGTTATTTTGCATGTGGATTCTTCTGCCTGGAACTTCTTGTCCTGAATCTTGGGGAATGGTATTAGAACCCAGGATCTGGGCACTGAGTGTGCTCATTGCTATTGGGTTGTCATTGCTTCTAGGTCCTCCCAGGGGATAAAGCTAGGAAATAAAAGCATGCATACCAAGCCATGCATATATGCATCTCTGTTTCTGTGCCTGTTTATCATAAACATTAACATACAAATGAGTTCATACTGACATCCACTCTAATTCACACCAACAGTTTCATTCTAGCCTTCCCTTTTTCCTTATTTCTTCTTGAAGAATTTCTTTCTTCAACAGTGGAAAAAGTGGCTCTCATTATGTGCACTTGTCCCTTATTGTTTAACTCTAGTATTATAAAGTAGTTACATTTATCTGTAACAGATTTCTTAGCCAGAATTCATTATATACAGATCTTTTGGTCCTAAGCTTTCAGCATCCAATCAAACACATTGTTTTTCAAAATCATTGTTGTTTTCTTCTTTATCCCTTTTAAAGTGGCTATGGTACTGTGGTGCAGTTTGGTTTGTTAGCATTTGTATTTCAATTAGGCCCCCATTCTCCATATCCTAGTTTTCATTCATTATTACAGTGAAGCATAATAAATAAGAGGTATACAGAAAGTTCTACCCAGAGGAGTTTTGTTCCCTCCTTATCCTTCCCATCCTCTCCTCACTACCCGTACTTTCCAGTCTTTTTTCCATCCATTTTATGGGCTTAATTCTCCTTGTTTTGTTTTTGTTATTGGTTTTTTGGGGGTTCTTTGTTTTGTTTTGATACTGGGTATTTAACTCAGGGATGCTTAACCACTGAGCCATATCCCCAGACCTTTTTATTTTTTATTTTTTGACAAGGTTTCACTAATTGCTGAGGCTATCAAAATTGCAATCCTCCTTTCTCAGCCTTCTGAGCCACTAGGATTGCAGGCATACACCACAGTGCTAGGCTCATTTTGAATGGCAGTTATAGTTTGACCAAGTATTTCCTATAGGCACTTTGTATGTATTGCTTCATTCAGGGTTCACATCAAGCCCATGAGAAAGGTACTGTTATTACCCCCATTGTTTAGATAAAGAAGCTGAGTCCCAGAGAACAGATGTATTTGGTACACAACCAGTATTCCATCTAAGATCTTTCTGATGCTAGGGTCAGTGTGTAAATCACCATGTTGTTCACCTCTCCTTTCTTTTTCCTTCTTTCCTTCCCTCCTTCCTTCTTTTTCTTTCTTTCTCTTTCTTTCACTCCCTCCTTTCCTTCCTTCCTTCTTCTTATTTCTTTTTTTTTTTGGTGCTGAGAATTGAGTTTAGGGCTTTGTGCATGCTACATGCACTGTACCACTGACCTACACAGCCCCCTCCTCTTTCTTAAAATTGTCAAAGCCCTCCTCAATCTGGGTCTTCCTGAAGCTCAGCACTTCTGAAGTCACCTCTCTGCAAGCATTCTGATAGCTATGGGAACCTTGTTTTAGCTATTCAGGTGTTCTGTGTGGTTACAAAAGGTCCACAAGGGACCAACAGATCTTTGGTTAGAACTTGGGGGGAGATGTAGCCTTCAGTCAGTCTCTGGCTCCATTTTCAAAATGTGGGGTCACATTTCTATGAATAGAAAGTGATTGTCTAATTGTCTAGGGTGACATGGGCTAAAGGAGTGACTAAATTTGGTAGATAATTTTGTGTCTCAGGCTCTGTGCTGGTTGTCTCAGGCTTAAGATGAGTACACACTGTCCCTGCCCTCAAGGGGCTTGGGGTCAAGTGTACAAGTGACTCTAATGTAAGACAAAGCTGAGGTTCAGGCCTGGAAGAGAAAGGCACGGCTAGTGCTTGCTGGGAACAGGAAGGGGAAGACTGGAGCATCCAGGAAGAAACAACATTCCAAGGGAGACTTTAGGAAAGGTTGACAGGAAGACAGGCAAGGGAAAGCTTTCAGCCAGCAGGTCTACTTGGGCCAACAGATAGGTGTAAAAAAATCACAGGGCAATGGGGTAAATGGTGAGTAGCCTCATTTGGTTGTAACAGAGATGTAGTGATAAGGGAGAAAGCTAGATGGGTATATTGGGGTTATTGTAAGGATCTTTCTGCCAGTTAGGATGTTACAGATTTTCCAGTCAGGTCACCTAGCTCAAACTGGCTTGGACAATAGAGGAGTCTATTGGCTACATAAGCAGGATGTCCAGAGGTAGCTCAGCCCTGATCAGTTTGATCCACTGCTTCAATATGATGTCAGGGACCCATGTGCTTGCCATCCTGTGGCTCTGCTGTCCAGAGTGCCCTCTTCTGTTAAAGGCTGGTCCTGGGCTGGGAGTGCAGCTCAGTGGTAGAGTGCTTGCACAGCATGCACAAAGGCCCACCTCTGCAAAAAGGAAATAACAAAGGGTGGTCCTTCTTGTGGTTAGATGAGAACAACTAGTAGTAATCTGTGTAAGGTTTCCTCAAGAAAGGCTTTCTGTGTCAACTGTTTTATTTATTTTTTGCAGTGCCGGGGATGAAACCCATGGCTTTGTGCATGCTAGGTAGGTGCTCTACCACTGAGCTACACTTCCAGCCCTTTTGTTTTATTTAATTTTAAGACAGAATCTTGCTGAATTGCTGAGGCTGGCACTGGCCTCAAACTTGTGATCCTCCTGCTTTAGACTCTAAGGCAGCTATGATTTCAGGGATGCACTGCCATGCCCAGTTCTGTCAACTCTATTGTAAGTGGTGAAACTCTCTTCTGCAGTCTCACTGGACAGAATGGGCTCACATGCCCATTTCTTAAGCTATCACTGGCAACTGGGGCTGGACTGCCCTTTGCCCAGTCCAGCCCACTGCTGGAGCTAAGATTAGAGCCCATTTCCCCTGGAATACATGGAACAAAATCAGGATTCAATGAGGAAGGAAGAAGTGAGAAATTGGTGCTGGGGAAGCAGCCAGATATAACGTCTACTCTCAAGTGCCAAGAATGTGAAGCTTTGTGCTTGTTAAGGTAAAAATGAGGATCATGGGGGAAATTTAGTTTTAACAAACTCACATATTTAGTTTAAATATCTCCATGTTTCATCAAGTCTAAGATAATATCAATCACATGGTATATCATTATTTTATTTTATTTTAATTTTTTTTAAGAGAGAGAGAGAGAGGAGAGAATTTTTATATTTATTTTTTAGTTTTCGGCGGACACAACATCTTTGTTTGTATGTGGTGCTGAGGATTGAACCCGGGCCGCACGCATGCCAGGCGAGCGCGCTACCGATTGAGCCATATCCCCAGCCCCTCATTATTTTATGTACCAATAAAAAAATGAAAAATGCTGCCGGTTAATTTGGGATATGTTGCAGGTTGGGTCCTCTGGGCAGGAAGCACTGAGAAGGTGAGGATGCCGGAAGTTTATTAGAAAGTGCTCTTGGAGGGCTGAGGATATGGCTCAGTGGCAGAGTGCTCACCTAGCATGTGTGAGGCACTGGGTTCAATTCTCAGTACCACATAAAAAATGAATAAAAAAATAAAAGTATTGTGTCCATCAACAACTAAAAAAAAAATTAAAAAGAAAAAGAAAGTACCCTTGGAGCCGGGCACATTGGTGGCTTGGGAGGCTGAGGCATGAGGATTGTGAGTTTAAAGGTGGACTCAGCAATTTAAAAAAAAAATAGGAATAAAAAGTGCTAGAGATGTGGCTTAGTGGTTGAATGCCCCTGGGTTCAATCACTGGTACCAAAAAAGTGCTTTTGAAATTGATCCTTTTGAGAGGGCAGAAGGAAGTAGGGTTGATGAGGCACGTGTAGGGGTTGAGCTGCAAAGCATTCGCACCAAAAACTTCCCCCATCCCTTCAGCGAAGTCCAGAAGTTAGGATGACATGCCTTCAGCATAGCTCTACATTGTTTTGAGTGCATTGCTTCTTTTTAAAGTTCTTTTTAAATTCATTTTAAATATACATGACAGTAGAATGTATTTTGACATATTATAACCCTGTGTTGACTGGGGTATCTCTTCTGTTGAAGTGGCTTTTTTTCAATAGAGGTGATTCTGAAGAAAGTTGGCCACTCACAGAGGGCCATTTTCTGGCAACATTCTCAGCCACCATGGAAAAAAGATCTTTCTAGAAGGGGATATGTGGGTGACAGGGCAGATAATCTACCACACCACACCACTAATTGTAATGGGTATCCCAATATCTGAGAAACTAAAATGGAAGTGTCCCTCTCAGAAGAAATGGATAAAATTATGAAATTATTCAATGGTGGGCATGACAGAAAGTAGCAGCAGCCTCCAGTCTGGAGGACTCTTACTTTCTACTTTTTTCCTTTCTGCACTGTTTAATCTTCTTTTATAACCATGTTACTTAAAATCAGGGGAAAAAAAGAATAAATGTGTTGGACAGAGTGAGCCTCTAAGCAGGAACCCAAATCATCTTTATACAGAATTTTTGTTATATTAAATACAATATTTGCGTATTCAAATCCTGAGAGAAAAGTTAAGAGTTTAGTTGAGTATTTCCTCTCACCTGGAAAGATAGAACACTAGAGAGTGGAAAGCCCCAGAATTTGTGTGTTACAAGTGTGTTCCTGTCACATGTTCTTCCAGGGTGGCCTCTGGCCTAGAATCAGGTGCCTCACGCCTCCATCAGCTACCTCCAACTTATGACACTTCTGCACTAGGAAACAGATTTTCTACTTTTGTTTTCATGTTAAAAAACATTTTCCTCCCGGTTTAAAAATCACATATCAAGAGCAAA